GGGGGGGGGGGGGAGTTCGGTAGGAGCTGGGCTCCAAGGGATGGGGGCTTGGGAGTCAGTGACCTAGATGTTGACTGAGCCGTGGGCCACATGAAGCCGCCCCAGGTAAATGAAGAAGGTGCGCCAAGTGCCGGGTTACTTCGTTCTGAAAGGTCAAGGGGAGGTCAGAGAGGTAGGAAGAAAACCCAGGATGAGACTGCCGAAAGGCCAAGGGAGGAAGATTCGAGACGGAGGTTGAAAGAGGTTGATAGTGGGAGCTGCTAGCGCGAGATGAAACCGGAGGCCAGAGGAGCACATTGAAGTCAGCCGAAGAGAAGTTGCTGGTGATGCCAGGGGCTCGGCGGAGGCAGCGGGCAGAGCACGCTGGGGAGAGACGGGAGCGTGGCCACAGTGTCAGGGGTGCCGCCGCCCGTGTCCTTTGGGGAAATTAGAAAAAGGAGGCCTAGTGTTCGGGCCGCCGCAGCCTGGGCCAGGGCACTCGAGCTGGCTAATGGAGTGCCCCCTGCCGGGCAGGGCGTCACTGTGACCGCCCCGGAGGGGACAGATAGAAGGGGCGGAGCATCAGGGCGGGAGACGAGGGACGGTCTCGGCTGTGGACCGGTCCGTGGACGCAGATCCTTCCCAGCTCGGCTCTTTTCGGCCCTGCTGGCTCTGCCCCGGACTCTTCATGCCCCAACCGCCCTTCCAATCACAGCTGTCCTGTGGCTTCTCCCTGATCACCCATCCCCTCGCCCGTGTCACAAGAATCTCCCTGAGAACACAGAGCGAATCCCTTCCTCTGCACCCCTGCTTACTCTCAAGGGGATTGCCTCAGATCCTTTCGGAGGTGAGGGATCCATCCGGAAGAGCTTTAGTGTTTAAGCACTGGGAGAGGTGCCTGGCCGACTTTGCATCTGCTTGGCTGAACCCACGTGGTGGTGAAAGAGACATCCTTCAGTTTCTCAGGCTGAAGGCAGCAGCTTCCCTCTCTAGGTTTTCCCGCTAGGATTCCGGAAATAGGATGTGTGCCCGTGGCCCATCAGCGTCCCTGGAGCCACAGACAGCAGGTGCAGCAGGCCACGATTTCCTCTCCTTTACCATCCGTCCTTCTGCTGTAGGCCCTGGGTGTCCTGGGTCACCCCTTCTCTCCTGTCAGGGAGAAAGCTAAATGCCTTCACTCTGGGTATTCCAGGGCCCTAATGCTCACCTCTGGCAGGCACGTTTGGGGAGCGGGGGACATTCAAGATACTTTTGTGATTTTTTAACCTCTCCCCCCTTTTTGTATAGGTAATGCTAAGCATGAGAAAATGAGGAAATATGGCTCTAATGTTTAACAAAGGAAGGAGAAAGAAAGACCCTAATTTCTGGGAGGGGGTCTCCGTCTATGTGGAAAAGGAGATCAGGACTGTTATCAAAAGTTTGTCTGGGGGCGCCTGGGTGGCTCAGTCGGTCAGGCATAGGACTTTGGCTCGGGTCATGATCATGCAGTTCATGAGTTCAAGCCCCTCATCGGGCTCTGTGCTGACAGCTCAGAGCCTGGAGCCCGCTTCAGA